GCACAATAACCGGGCTAATCTCTATTTCGTCAGAATGTGGATGCAGATTGCTAAGAGATCCTGATTAGCCTTGTTAAAACATTCTCTTTTTATCATTTAATCAGGGCTCTACGCTAGGGGTCGACCGATTATCGACCTGGCCGATTATCGGCGCCGATATTAAGTATTTTTATGATTATCGGTATCAGTCATTTTCAAAACCGATTCGCCGATAAAATAACTTAAATTTTGAAACGCGCTATTTGGCTCTGATGCAGCCTGTCAGAACTCACCACTCTGTGGCCTAAAGCAGTCTCCGCCCACCGTTCATCTGATTTGTTGGGAGTAGACTTGTGCCGGTATTCGGTAATGCGATATATCACGGTAATGAATATGCACGATATTGTTATCGTGGGCACTTCTAAATACCGTGAATAATTATATATTACAAATTATTCCGAATTTTGAATGCATTTTAAGAATACTTTTCCCATCAACTGGTCAGAATGCACAACACCGCTGTATGCTGCGTGAAAGACACGTGCGCACTCTGATGTAAACAAGCGCGGACGTGAAGCACATGGCGGAACATGTGAGAGACGCTCTGGATGAAAGCGCACTTTCACTCTCTGACAGCAGATGGCGCTAAACTGCAGAAATAATAATAATAATAATTATAATAATAATAATTCATTTAAATGCAGCCGTTACCCTGGAAACCCTGTAAACAAAGCAGCTGCACTACTTCCTGTTTCTGAATCATGTTTAAATGATTTAAACAGCCATGCTGTGATGTTCATCACAACGCCAAATAATATTTAGACTTAATAGGCTATTTATTTTCAAACTTTTTTTACATTTTAATCTGGACTACAACATGCCCTAGATATTGTTTGAAAGTGTTTTGATTCTTTATTGTTCGGTAACACTTTACATTAGGGCTTCATTAGTTAACATTAGTTAATAAACTGCCAATGAAAAATTCTTCTGAACATTCATTAATCTTAGGTAATTACAATATTTAATAACACGTTGTTAAAATCGAAAGTTGCAACTGTGTTATTTAATGAGCTAACATGAACTAAGACTTGTATTTTTTAAACAAAGATTAATAACTTCTGTAGCAAATGTAGCTATTGCTCATTGTGAATGTTAATGCATTAACTAAGGTTAACTAATGAGGTCTTATTGTAAAGTGATACCTATTGGTCTTTATAGTTCTTTTGCACTTTAATCTGTGTAAAACTTTTAACTTTATACATTTTTCTGTATTGCTTTATTGCATTTAAATGTTCAGTTATTTTTGTTATAAGAAAAAAGTTATTAAACCTGTTATACTGTATTATGACAGCACTTTTTAAAACTAAATTTCAATATCGTGATAATACCGTATACCGTAATAAAAGCATTAGCAATTAATCGCAACATGAGAATTTGATACCGGCATATCCCTAATATATACACACACACACACACATGTTGGAAAAAGGATCACCCCCCCTTCTAAAAATGACTTGTAAACTCAATCAGGTGTAGCGAATGGCTGATTCATTCAGGAATGAAGCAAGTGACTGTTTTTATGCATGGGTAATCATGAATCACTGACTCACTAGATTCGTTTAAAAACGCCCGTTCATTCATAAACGAGACACCGCTGTGTTTGAATGGAGATGCGCAGCGGCTCCGCTGTGTCTTTGTTTTAAACTATTTTCGACGACGAAATAGAGCAAAATCAGACAATAGTGTTATAGTCAGACAATGTAAGTCACTTAATATTAACTTCTTGTCTATTTAACTGTTGTATTAAATCAGTATCACATTTACAAACTCCATTAAAAATCATTAAAAGCTGTCACTCATCTTAGCTCATCGCGAGCTCACATTTATAGTCAACGAAGCTCTCTACACTGCGCAATTAATCTCTTATTTACACCCGGTCTACACTTTGCTTATGAAAGTACTCATGAGATATGTCTGTGATACATTACTCAACGCTGCAAAAACACGTAGAAACCTTTGAAGCTCCCCTGAGCGATCACAATCACAAGTATGATGATGATCGGGTCAGTCGCACTGGTGCTCCTAAAAAAATTTTCATAGTCGCACGCAGTAGTTTTCAGTCGCAAATGCGACTGAAATGGTCACACTGTAGAGCCCTGATTTAATGCTGAAGTTTTGGGCACCAGATTAGCTTTTTAGCATGACTTGAGATATTTAGCGACACTGGACCTCAGGTGACCGGTTTTAACTCAAGTGCCCTTGTGTGGTGCGAGTACCCTGGCAGGACCGCAGGGGTTGCAACATCTGATTGCTGCAGTCAGGATGAAAGTATTGCATTTTTAGCTTGGATTAAGGCTATGTCTGTTCTTGCACAGACGTTTTTGACCTACTACTAATAGGCAGCATCTAGGGATGTAACTATTCACTCAACTCACGATTCGATTCACGATTTTTTTTTTCACAAAATGAGATTTAAGACAAATTATAAACTAAATGTGTCCTTTTATTGTTGCTTGGACAAAATACTGAAATTCACGTTTCTTTGTGAAATTGAAATATAACACTATAATAATCTACTAATATAGCACTTGTAAATTATTGCTCTTTTGTTGGTTTTGATTGCTTCTATTGTCCTCATTTGTTAGTCGCTTTGGATAAAAGCGTTTGCTAAATAACAATTTTAATAAAATGTAAATGTAAATAACAAAACTAAATTGAAATTTTAAAACAAGCCCCAAATCAAATAAATAACACAAATAAAATAAATCTCTTCATATAAACAAACTAAGGCTTTGTCTGTGCTCTTTCCATTTAAAATTAGAGGCAACCACTGCATTTTAATCATGATCCAAACAAAGATGCTGCATACATGAAACATGAGCAGTTATTAATCTAAATTAGATTGTATAATTTCGACTTTGACTTCAGTTTTGTGAAACTATACATAAAAAATATCTGCATGAAACAGAAACAGCAGACGAGCTGAATGAGACGCAGATTCACTCTCCGCCAGCAGGTAACGTGTTTCCTTGGTTTCCGCTGTAAACAAAACAGTGCTGCGCTTATGAACTTTAATATGCATTATACAGAGGCAAGATGAAAAGAAAAAATACCATCTAAACTTTTCTAAAGACAGTAAGTTCCCCTCACATACATTCATATAAACTCCTACCCCTAAATGAATCGCGATTTGTTTAGCATCTCAACCGATTTGAATCATCACATATTTGAATCGATTTTCAACCGGCTCGCGGTTAATCGGTACATCCCTAATATATATATATATATATGAAGAATTCAGATGCAAAAGCCTCTAAGTCTCATTTTTTTTTAAATTCTAAAATGAGAATTTTAATTTTTATCAGGCTCCTATGTGTAGGTTCAGTAATTTCACTTTAATGGCAATGAATAG